AGATGTCGGTGCAGCAGTAAACCGAAAATAAGGTTCTACCTGATTCAGAAGATTTTATACTCAAGAACTTATCATCCGACAGTTCGTATATTGCGTGAATTTAAGAAAATCTAGACGAATAAATGGCGTTGTTTCGGTAAGGTAAGCTATGTTTTTCTTTCATATTGTGTACATTTTACACGTCTCCACTGATGCCATTTAGGATGTTAATTTGCGCAAAGTACCACGAGCTAAACCGTTGTCAAGTAAGTCTTACACGCGGTTGAAATGATTATACACGATAAGCATATTTACGATTCAATTATAGTCAATTTCAATGATGCAAAATTCAGATAAGTGCAGTTATAGCGATTGGAACGTAAACTCTTAATCAGCATATGACGTAAGATGAAAACAGAGTAAACCTTTTTACTAAGAGTGACTTAAAAATGGCCAATGATCCCAATTGAATGGAAGCCAGGGTTGGAAAAACTATAACTTAACTGCTTTTTAAATGTGTGTTGATCCAAAGTCCTGTATTTTACCAAATAAGGCGTATAATAAATTTAGTTGTCACCAAAAACTCGTAGGCAAGATTGACTTAATCCGACCCTCTTTTGAGAGGAATTGAACATCTTTCGATTCATCGTAAATTTAACAATGACTTCCGCAGAAAATATTTAAGCGGTGAGGCTTGTAATCAAACATGTTATTGAATCATTCCTCCAAATGGCGAGTTATGTTAAAAAACAAAGCCTCTTTCTGAAGAACATTCAAAAGCTAAAAACAATTAAATAATGTGATCTTTGACATTATAACTTTCAATTTAGACAGGCGTATTTAGCTAGTGTTTCTTTAAACTTTCATATGCCAATCGTTCAACTTAGTAACAAGAAATAAGTATTCAGGAGAAAAGATAGATCCTTATTTGTTATTTTTTGATTGCTGAATACACTGACGGTTTACAGAGATGCAAGTTTTAATTCATGACCTACAGTTAACTGACCGCATAATATCATGCGTTTTCTAGTAGTCAGCTTAATTTTGAAAATTCAGACGGACAGGAATTTGTATTTTAAACTGCCTTTAGACTATGTTTTCAGACGATCATAATTAATCTGCGTAAATGATTAATAAACATGACTCTAGTTACGATTAGCATGTTTTAATCTGAATTCATAATTTATTTCCTTGGCAAAGTATGACATGCATTACGGGAATGCTCTTCGTTCGTCTTGACGTATAAACCACATGTAAACACTCATCTGTCGAACACAAACCTTGTAAAAATAGTCGGCACCTTTCCGCACTGAGAGGAAATTCCCAATGCCTCGCTTTGCAAGCTGAACGAAATTTATTCCCCTTCCTTGAAAACTAGAAGGATCTAAGTAACGTTTTGAAACCCTTTCATGCATGTAAGCCTTTTTTTTGAACACATACATCCTTTTGGCGTCTTCATCCTCCCATATTTTGTGACCGCCCCGGCGTCGTGTTCCCTTGGGCTTTTTCGGTGGGTGGTCGACTATTCTATAAACGTTGAAATTCTTTACTAGTCTTGAGTTCTCCAAGCATAATTGATGAATTCATTACATGTCTAAGCTGTAGTTAGGCATTTGGCAGCTTTTGTAAGCAAAGGTGCTTGAAGTAACAACAGGGTAATAATAGGTGAAAAGTAGCGATGCATACAAAGCAGTGGAGCAGAGAGAAACCTTCTCACATTAAAATCAGGTAGTGGTATTAAAGAAATCAAAAATTAATTTTATTGAACACAATAAAGGCAAACTTATCTTAATTGAACTAAAACTGACTCACTTTATATGTTTGAAAACCATTTCTTAGGCAAAATGCTAAGCCAAATAGCCTTTCAATTCTACAGGCTCTACCAGTGCGAATTATTTTACTTTTATAGAAATCATATCGCTGCCACTTAAGCAAATATCTCAATGATAATGACCTTAAAACTTTTTGGGACTTCATCATTCGCGGTTATTGAATAATACGCAAATAAGCATTCACTGGTGTTCTGCTGGCTCTAGAAGAGATGCATGATTCCAATTTCTTTAAACAGGTTCTAATTAGAACAGCAGTTGGCGAATGTACACTTTCAGTAAATTCTCCTCAGGCCATAAATTTACCTGAAAGGTTTAAATTTAAGCAATCGATCGATCGTCTTTCTTTACGAGCGGGAGCCAATCAGAGCGCGGAAAGATGCAGGCAATTACGTAACCGTTGGCCATGCCAAGTTAGGGGCTTGCAGGAGGTTCTTTTGCGCGCAAAATTCTAATTAGCCAAACTGTTCAGAACGGTACAGGGACGATGTTGGATTTTGTGCCCTTTTATTAACGAAACAAGCATAATATAATAACTCTTACCATAATTAAAATATGGTTAAAATACAGAATATGCCAATACGCAGGAGGTGAAACTTACTGAACTCAGGGAAAAAAAGACGGACAGGATGGACTTAATAAGGAGGATTTATTAAGCCAACTCCCACAACCGACTTGGTAATATTTTCTCCCTATCAGAATATCAGCATGCCAGTCTTGTGTACAGCGACCAGTAAGGACTGTTAAATAACATGGACATTCTTTGAGTATTTTAAAACTAAAGTATGCGCGTATATCTCCACAGCCGCATTTGTCCCTGATCCTAAGTATTAAACTCATTCCAAGGCTCCTAAGTTGTCAAGTAGGACGAGCAAATAACATCTGTTGCATAAATTACAAATCTCAAAGTAATACTATCTCATCAATTACAATATTTCAATAAGTACACAATTTCAAATATTGTACATTTTGCTCAATAAAAGCTAAATAGCTTTAAGAAAATCTTCTCAATGCGCGTATATTGGCATTCCGTTTCAGGAAACTTGAAAAATGATGCATAGTTTTGTGGTGCATAACACTGTAACGAATAGGCGGGGTTATGTAACAGCACGTTTTCATTATTCACGTAGGCTCTTGCCTGCCGAAGAAGTTATATTGGAAGAAATTCCCTACTTTAATATTTCACGGATAGGCAGACTGTTGAATAAACCTGTAGGTAAATATATCCATATACAGCACCCCTTTGATTTGTCCTTGACGCTCTATTCTGTGAAGTCCTGCTACAAACTGAAATCCGGGATTCAGTATACGGACACACTCGTTCGATGCAATTCAATGTAGGAATGGATATTAGCATTCCGGTTATGCACTAGAATTAAAGCAAAAGAAGGCGCAGGCGTTCGTATAGTGATTAGCAATATTCCCACGGAAATAAAATATTACCCTGTGTTCCAATTTAGAAGGAATGCCAAGAGGTGTGCGTGTGCCCATTAAGTTTAACTCTGCATCCAGGGTTGTGTTTGGAATGTTTGGCCAACTGTTTTCATCGTCTAAATCAAAACTTCAGCAATTAAATGTATGTTTGTCTCCAGTTAAGTGGACAGGTATGTGGCCTGCTGTCCACAGCATAACAGTTTTGTGCTACATTACACAGTTCCACAAACCATTTCGAAGGGACCGCACTAAAATGTTTGTTCTACACAGGATTTCAGAAGATAAATTGACAAACACGGGTTTGCCTGCGATAAATTCTCGTCAGACTGTACATTTATGTCGTTGTTAACTACATAAAGTATACAGGTTTAAAGAAAAACTTGTGCAGATTTAAAGGGAAGTGGGGCGATAATTTGTATCGAAAATCTAATCAGTGCTATGGGGGACTGATAGCCGAGAAAGTTTATAAGCTGCGGGCTTTGGGGTTAGCGACTTTCTTCCCTGGTAACTGCGGCGCCATTGCGAAGTTCTTTTGAGCGCACAGTACCGGTCTGCGTAGCCTGATGGCTGTCGCTTCCGTCGTAGCCAAAATACGCTGTCGAAGGCATTTTGAATAGCTTGAAGGCACCTTTTAGATCACTTGATAGGCCCCTCTCGTATCCACGCGATGGTCTGAGTGAACCAGATGCGCTAGAATGAAACTGCTTATACCCTTTTTGGCCCTTCCTTAACCATGCTGGAATGCGTTCTCGTACTCTTTTTGACAAACACCGGCTCGTGCGACCAAATATATTCTGCCCCACAGCGCAGGTGAATAGATGTACATATAGGTGGTCTAGGTTGACAGTTTGTCCTTGATTCCGCCGTATAGGATGGAATAGTCGAGAATAGTACATTGATGCTGACTGTTTGAAAGGTGGTTGCTACGTCTCCTTGAAATGTTATCCTGACGAATATTCTCTTCTTCCTTGCTGTCAACACCGAGAACTTTTGGGATGCCCATTTTGTCGAAAAACGTTTTCAACAACCTTAAGCTCCTCTTAGATGCTATCAGTCGAGCAGACCCTTTTCGTACTTTGCGTCAAACATGGTACTAAATTACGTTTAAAGTTTAACCGTACAAAACTAACAAAATAGGTGTATTGCCAGGACCAAGTCTTCTTGCGATATAACCTACGTTGAATACTTCCGTCAGCCTTTTGACTCAATACAGAGGATTGGAAATTTAAAAGGTTTAGCGAACAAAATATCAAATGAAAACACGATTCTTGCGTACACTGTCGTCACTGAGCATCTTCGTAGTCAGGTACGTCCTAAAATGCTACAATACTTCGACTCAAAAACTCACAACGTTTATGACACATAAATGTATTCATGGCGAGTAGCTTTTGTCCCAGAACCATAAAATCACGTCAAGTTTGCTTAGGACTTAGCTTATAGCTGCTATCTATTATGCCCCATCTCCTAATCGAAAATATAGCAGGTTGCATTTTAGGCGTAAATTTATTTATTCAAACTGCAACGCATTAGTAGTTTCGAGTTGCCGTTCAAAGTTAAGTGAAGTACCTACTGACTAACATTTTCCACAGATACCGACTATAGATAGGACCTGTAGACGTAAATGGACAAGTTCTTTTTCACTGTGGGGCAACTATTGCATATCAGGTTTATTTTACTCTCCTATCCTGTACGAAAGGGAGCTAGCCTCCCTTATACAGTCGTACTACTGACGGACTTTTTTCCCCTTTCGATTTCAGCTACACTCTTCAGTGTGTCCTTCCAATCAACTACTTTGTGGAGAAAGTATTTGTATTCCTTTGGTTCTGGTTCGTCCTCCTAGGCGCTTTCACCTTCCTAAGTACCCTGCAATGGGCCTTCAACACCCTCGTCCCAATCCGCCGAATTGCTTATATCAAGCAGTATATTCGTGCTATTCGACAGTTGTCAAACACCGAGGAACGCGACTGTACGCGTTTCGTGAACAATAACCTCGGACCTGATGGAGTGCTGATACTGCAGGTGGTCTCGCGTGCCTCCAGTGACCTGATCGCCCTGGACGTGACAGCCACCATGTGGAGCAACTATCGGCACGCTAAAATCACCGGCACGGAGGAGGACTTTGGAAGGTTCATAGAGAATGTCAATCGTGGTACCACAGCTGTATAGCGTTGACTCAGCGCTCAGCCTGCAGTGTGAAGCAAAGCGCATGGTCAGGAATGTTAAGAACTCCGACACAGTATGCTTACTCCCACTCAGCCCATGCGCATTGAAACAACCAAACTGTTACTCTGCGTTTAAGAAGGAGCTGCCGACGGCATTGGCTCAAAGGAGGCAAGCATCAGAGCGCAGATCGCGGGAGGTCAACTGTAATTACCATCATCTTTCAAATACAGACTATTGTATCTGGTCAGAAATTCCCCCCGCCCCCCCCCTCCCCTCCAGTAATGCGGCGCACAGAGAGGTAAGGAGACTGCGAACCTTCCCATCTCAAACGCCCAAACAGAATCATCAGCCCCGTTCCTTTCCTTAGAGCATTTCCGCTGATTATATCTGCGACCACCTCGCGCACTCCTTGTCGGTCATCCCAATGTTCGACTGCTTTTGCGTCACGTGAAGGCCAGCGCCCACCAAAAGCTCGCCGGTTTACACACGAGATATTTATACAGAGCGCGACTTCTTCACTGCTACCCAAAAGTTCCAATGCATCAACATACCAGATATGAATGAATTGTAAAAACAAGAGGTTATTCTTTCAGCTCTACCATCCGCAATCTTCACTATCCTCACATAAACGTACAACCCCATTTCTTTATTTCTTTCCTTTTATTGCTCAGGCAGCCTGCAGCTGATGATGATATGCAACGCAAGAGACCCAAAAAAGCTGCGTGCATGCTTTTTATTTATCTATTTATTTTTGAAGTGGTTAACTTTCTGGCTGACTGATAACTGCTCAGAATTATGTTATCAGATTTTTACCTCACAATTTCAATTCACAAACACGCCAGTGTATCTTCCCCATTTACATTCGCGGACAGTTTCCCCAGTCTTGTCAGCAAGGGAAGCACGGGAACTAGAGGCTCAATTCTTTCTCACCTTCCTGTTTCAGGTTGCCTGTAGTTATCTTTCATTGTGGCTGCTATTTCCTGACTCAAACTCCCCCCCCAAAAAAAATGTACATTGCAATTTTACACACAATTTATATAACTTCTATTGCCTAAAGGAGGCTACGTCTCTCTCTGGGTCCAAATGTGCATGAGGCTGGCTTCTTTCAAGTGCAATGTCATCATGTTGGACCAAAGACTATGGCTATTTAAATTTGTAAACGATTTTCACTAGCATGTTGTACCTAGGTTGATTCCGTTACTGGATGTTCGATAAACAACAGATCCATTACCATGCCTAATTTCTGCTTCAACATCTGAATTTGGTTTGCTAGCATTCATTCAGTTTTGGACCTTTACTAATCCCACTTCATGGAATGATCTGATTTTCTAGAAGGTCTGGCAGCCGCCTGATTGAAGTTAGGCCATGATCTTCAAACACATTGCAGAATAAGAGATTTTTGAAAGGAAGCTACGGTTCCCATATTTGCAATAGCCACTTAGCTACAGTTCGACTACCTAAGTAGACAGATTCGGAAAGGAAAACTTGATGGCAAGAAACAAATCCCACTTGCTACTCGGGAAGCAGCATCAGACAACATGCGCGCGAAATTTGTCGTATTGTAAAACGTTAAATAGGAACCAGAATTAGCAGCGCTCGTATTTATCGCCGACGGTCGTGTGAGAAACGAAAATGGAATTATAGTCTACATGCAAGTCAGTCATTGCCACGACAAAGTCCCTTTTGCTATTAGCCTGTTAGTTACTGAGCACTTTGCCTTACCGAGATTTCAGCTGAACGTATGATTCATTTGTGCGCAGCCCGTGCAAATAATAACTCGGCCGAGACAAATATTTTGCGCTTAATATAGAAACGATGATTAATGCGCTTTATGGTTGACTGGGTTGCAGAACAATTTCTCAAAGCGCTGGAAGAATTAAAATCTGTTCAAATTTAGCTTTGTCATCAGGTGGTGGGGAATCGGCCACGACTTTTCAGCTGACGCCTGTTCTTCCTCATCTGATGCTTGTTTGGCCTTCGAGATCCGAAGTTGTCTTCAAGTTTACTAGCCATATTTGCGATTTTCTCAATTTCTTGAAATCCGATAAGTCACGGAGGACGCAAATTATCATCAGTCGCATAAGCGAACTTCTTCTGTCCAGTGACTTCTTAAAAAATGCATTTTCGTTTATTTCGGCAAAACTGCCACAATTCCCAGTATGCTGATTTTGCGGTAGGTCCAACCCCACAGTTAAACTGCTTTCTGGCGATGCCGACTTTGTTTTACGACGATCCTGTATGTAGTACAATGCCAATTGTACTGTCGGTTACTGTTTTCATGTTACGAAAGGGGTCATTTATGCACTTTTCCCAAAGAATGAGCTTAGAGTTCTATTTTTTGACACATGTCGAAATTCCTAGTTCCAAATTCGAACAGATATATCGTTCAGGATCTTTGCTTTTGCATGTTATATTATTATCTGTATATTTCAGCCTACCTGGAAAGTACTACATATAACCATGGCGAATGTCACCAACCAGTAATGTAGTATAATCGACTAATCTACTTATACTTATAACTACGACATTTAAGCTGTTTATATATGGCAATTATCCGCGATTTCCTAATAGGATCGAGCAGATATATGCTGGTGCTCAAGTACTTATCTTGTAAGTCCGTACGAATTCATAATGGGATAGCAGTTAAGCCGATAGTTAGGTAGCATGTAGTCGTTAGGTTGCTGTCGTATACTTTATATGGGGTATTTAAAAATAAACTGACGGAAGTTTGACAAAAGTCGAATGAAATGGTCTTCCTAAGAAATTCGGCAGAGATCTAGAGGGCATCCGAGCATAAACACTGACGTAATCGAATCTTTAAAACTAGTCTGCTCACGGATAATGAATGCGCAGATTTAGTATAAGTGGCCCGCGATAGGGCAGTGGAATACGGTAGCCCAAAATATAAGGAAATTGGCGTAAGATTTAAGATTAAGATCGTTGCAGACGTTAGAGTTAATACTAAGGTTAAAGTGACGACGAAGATTTACGTTGGGGTTAGGAAAAGGAAATAGTTACCATTCAGGAAACTGATGGTGTCCGTCAGACCGTAACGAAATGTATCGCAATGCAACCTGTATTACGCACTGATCGCTGCTATTCTTGCCGCGGGAGAATCCATAACCGGTTCATATCAATAAACGGTTCCAATAAAGTTTATGTAAAGAACGCGTTTCGATTATACGTGTATATATGTATGTCTATCATCCCCCAAAGAATACGAAGAAGAAGGAACGAGTTCATCAACAGAAGTGTATTTGGACTCGAATAAAGGAGAACCTTCATGTTTCAAGTATTTTCATCGGTGAGGAAGAAGAAGGTTCGAGCAGCGGATCAAGTTTTTTATTATTCTGAGCTTTCGAACTCTTACAGGAGTCCATCGTTAGAGATAAGAAACAGCAA